ATAGCAAACAAGTAAAATTTTTGCAAACAAGACAATTATCTAAAAAGATTAAAATAAAAATAACAAATAAAAAAACAACATTGATCATTAAAGATCATAAAAGGTCATTACACGTTAGAAATATTGTCCATATATAGGTACACACTAAGCAATTATTTACATCAAAAAATTCTTTGTTGTTTTAATAATTGTCCGACTGCTCTAATTTCAAAATCAAAAGAGAATTTTCAAAGTTTACAAAATGACTTGAATTCAAGCTAAAAAAAATATAGCTTGTTTTAAAATTATTCCTTTTTTTTAATATATCAGTCAAAGTTTTTTATTTCTATGATTAAAAACAGACTATCCAATGATTTTTAGATAATAAGACCGTTTATACTTAATTGAAACTCTGGATAATAATTCTGAATATGACAATTCGATGAACAGATTACTAACAAACAATTATATTGTACGATTTTAAATCATTACCCGATGTAAGCTGGGAAAAACCTTTAAGTATAGGATCAACATAAAATGTTCAACCTATTGGTGAACCCTTTTCTTGAAAAATTTCACAGTCCCTTTGAGTTCGAGCAAAAGAAGTTCAAATGTATTTTATTTAAAAGGGCATTATCACCTACCATGGTAAAAGCAAAACCCCCATCTGATTGGCTGTTTTCAAAACAAATTTGAAAATTTTAAACCCAAACACAGTGCTGTTGAATTTTACCAATCAATTTAAACCTTTTTTTTGCCAGAAATTTTAGCCCAAATATACAAAATTTCAGGAATTTTTTTAAACTGTGATTTTTTTCAAAAGGAAAAATGTATTTATAAGCAGGAAAATTAAAATTTTTTTTTATAAATACAGATTTTAAATTTTCATTTACGGTTTTAAAATAAAAAAATTTTATGAAGTGGGGTCCTTACTTGGGTAATTACGCGTGTGAAAAAAAAAAACATGTTATAAAAAAATGTTCCTGAGTGGTCCAATCAGACGAGTGTTTAGAAATACCCGATTATTTTAACCTTTTTCCTCTAAACCCGTTATAAGTCGAATATATTTATACAATATATATTAATACCGGGCTGTTAAATTACCATTTTTTTTAAAAAACAATTGCTAATTTAGATAAAATAAATATGTTTAAATAAAAATGTATTGTATTTTATTTTAACCCTACCGGGAAATTTTAAAGAAATAACTAGTATCTTTTTACGGATTTTAACCCTGATTTTATCAACACTTAAACTGTAAAACCACTAAATTTGGGATCTTTAAAATTTTTGAAATTTTCTTGTTTCTTTTAAGACTTAATTAAAAAAAAAAATTTAATTTCAACCTTCTTAAATTACAAAATTGTTTCCATTTAACACCCCAGGGTTTATTTTTTTCAAAGGTGGGCCATTAGAACTAAAATTTTGGGGATTAAAATAAATTTAAAACAAACCCATTTTTTTATTATTATTATAAAATTTAATTAAAAGATTGATTTTTTTTTAAAATTAATTTTTTTTGGCGACGAAAATTTTTGAGTTTCCCCGTTGGCATTTTTTTTTCGCTATTTTTTTGGAAGCCCCTAGATTGCTCGCCATTGAAAAAAGTTTGTTTTTTATGAAAAAAAGCACAAAATTTTTATATCCAAAATTAAAAATTTTTTTACAGTTTTAATATATAATTATAAAAAAAACTTGGGACTGTGGTATACATCTAAAAATTTTTTTGAATTTCCAGCACTTTTTGCCCATTTTAGCTATTCTGCGATTATTAAAGCCGCTTTGATACAGATTAAAACAAAAAAAAAATCTTGTTCATGAATGCTTTTACAATTTATACAAATACAAAAAAAAAAATTTGTAAAACATGTATGGACTTAACATATAAGTCCATGAAGGCTCAATCAAACTAGCCTGCAAATAGTTTCAATTTTATCGGACTTTAATTTATGGATTTCCTTTAGATAATTTTTTCTCTATTTTAGCATTCCAAAAAAAATCTGATTCACAAAATGCTTTCAAAAATTACAACAACTTGTACTTAGAAAATGGCTGACAAAAAGGCCCAAGTTTTTCATGTAGCTTTTCACAAAATGAAACCTTTAAATACACAAATCTGTTGTTTTTTTATCACTTAATCATTAGTGAACTAAACTAAACTTAACATATACGATAGTTTTATCTCTTCGTGTTAAGAATATCAATTTTATGAGTGTTTTTTTCCCCCAGATAATCCAGGGCAGAAACAAACAATTGTTTCAGTTAGCATTTATATAAGAAAAATAAGCGTGATGTGTCAATCTCCCCAAGATTGAACAGTGTGGTGCACCCTGAAGCTAATAAGGTCAAAGTTTTGTTTGTCCCTTTAGATTAGGTTGGAAAAACCCACAATATTATGGGCCAAATTCTGAAAATAAACTTACAAATTGTCATCAGTTGGTGTCGGGGCGAGAGGGGGGGGGGGGGGGTGGATGGGGGTTGGGGTTAGTGTCAGTCTTCAAATATATGTTTCAAAAAGAATGCATTCTGTACAATCAGTTCAATAAAAAAAAAAACATTCCTTTTTTTCTTTTCTTTTTTAATCTGCATCATTTTTAAATGAGGTGCTTATTAATTGAGGCTATGTAATCTTTATTAAACATGGAAACACATATTACATGTACAGTCAAACCTGTGTTAAAAAGCCACCTTTGAATAAGGCACCCAGTCAAATAAAGGCCACTTTTTGATAACCCTCCATTGACAAAATGACCTCCAAATAAAGACCATCTGTCTATTAAGACCATCATTTGTCACTCCCTTAGATGGCCCTTGTTCACAGGTTTCACTGTAGTTTATTTTTTTATAACAGGGGTGCTAATCAAAGACTGTATTACTTTTAAGAAAGGGGTGTTTTTTTATGAGGTTGAACTTCTCTTCATTTTTTATTTTAAACAGGTGTGCTACACACATACAAAACCAGGTCAAGTTGAATGATTTTATTTGCTACTTAAGTCTTAAGTAATATTATACTTAGTGTGTTTTTTTCACTTTTGGGGAAGGGGGCCCATACTTTTTAAAGTGGGGAATGGGGCCGAATTTCGCCAAATATTTTGGTGGAAAAAAAAACACTGATGCTCCAAATCAGGCATAAGAATGTATGAAATTTGAACCCTGAAGTACTGTTTTTAGAGATTTTTATTTTTAGATATGTTACTATAAATAGAAAAGTTGTTGCTAAAAATAAATTCAGTTTTGGCACAGTTCCAAAACACTTATTCACTAGTATTATCATATGTATAGTTAAATAAAAAGAATCACGATTTAATTATTTATGCTTCATATTCTTTGAATCTTTGTATCTTTGTATAAGAGGTGCTTATTAGTACATATAGGGTAAAGAATAATCAATAAAGAACACATGTCTAAAACGACCATTATTTGTCTCTTATTAGAATCTATACGGTAAATCTACAGATTTGTGTATTTCAAGTTTTCATTCTCCCCCGTAACACAATATGAGCCGTGTCACGACAAAACCAATGTGACGCGGCTCATTATGTAAGAGTGCATGTTCTATATCTTCAGCACCTACCCTGGTATATAAGTTCTCCATGTACTAAAAAAGTGATACATTTAACATGTCATATTAAAATTATAGTAAAAAACAAAAACCTCTGCAACACTTTACACAAGGGTGGCCAACCTATTTGAAATTTCTCAATTTGTAAATTGCAATGTGGGAAAAAGTTGTCTTTCTTTCCATGGTAAACATTTTAAGTTTAAACATTATCTACAAATTTATTCAATAAGTTTTCAATAAGTGTAAAGCTGACGTAGTTGGTGCAGGTTAAGTTTAACCTTCCAGATCAATTGTTAATGTCACCAAATATTCCTAAAATGTCATCAAATACTCCTTAAATTTCACCCAAATATTTGTTAAATGTCATTAAATTTTTCCTTAAATGTCACCAAAAAAAATCCTAAGCTTCAAATATTCAGTAAACCCCTAAATACATTATTCAAAATGTCACCAAAATGTAACCAAAGGATCACTTGGGTTGGCCACCCTTTTTTACCATCTTTTACCATTATCAAAGCACATACAAGATTACATAATTATCATCTAAAAATTAGCTCTGTCACAAATGAGTAATAGAAGAGCATCAAAACACAAGGCTATCTGATTGATATGAACTATGATACAATTATTATAATTATATCTTATTTCTTTCCAGTTCCACACAATTTCTATCTAGCTGTACGAGCCAAAAAAAAAAAAAAGAAAAATGATGTAATCTACAAGATATTTCATAATATATATCCCATAATATAACAGTAAAATAATTCTACTATTAAACCTGATTGTATGAATTTTTCATAATTATACACTTCAGCCTCATTAAAACGCTCATGTTGGGGTCCAATGTCTCACCACCGCGCTCTAACGAGGCTCTCATTAGAACGCTCATTGCGAAATTACCGCATTACCCCACCCACCCCATATTATATATAACGCTGATATTTTTTTACTTACTGTTCAATGAATATCGACATTATCTTTTTCTTAAGCCATTCAATGATGTAAACATGTATTATATTCACAATAATACTAATTATATTTAAAAGAAACGAAAAGCTTTCGAAAGAAAATTATAAATCATGAATGTAGTGTAAACACTAACAGTTAGCCATTACTGTAATGACGTTTGATTAACTAGGGGACACAACTAAAGCTGGACTGTAAATAACACTGTAATTTACAGTCCAGCTTTAGTTGTGTCCCCTAGTAAATCAGACGCCAATTACTTCCTGTCATGGCCGCTCTATTTACAGTGCAGGATTTAAAATTGATTTTGGGCTTGTTGGTTATTTAATTCAGCGAGGTTTACATGTCAAAGATATGTGTGTAATTTTAGTTTATTTATACTCACCACCGGTTGCCAATGTTACAGTTATGATATGAATTTGAGATTTTGGAAACAATTTGAAGACAGGTAAAACAACAAAAGAGCGGATAAACACTTACCTGGGCGTGTTTTTCACACCTTTGGCGATCATAAATGTCCTAATAATAATTGTTTATTGAACTTGGCTATCAACTTTAGCAAGCGTTATAGCGCGCTATAAATCTAAGTCTACTTAAAAAAAATATTTTTTTTTTTTTTTTTTGGGAAAGTTTTTTTTTTTTTTTGGGAGCGCTCTACTGAGATTAGCGTTATAGTGAAGAGCGAGTTATCGAGGCTACAGTGTAATAAAATCAAAACAATTCACCACCATTGTCCCTAATTTTAATTTTTAGTCCATAATACTGTTTGATTGCCAGGTATTTACTGTATACCAATTTCAACACATTTTTTGGATTATTATATAGGCGTCCGGTCCCGAATTTTAATTTTTAGTCCATAATACTGCTTGATTGCCAGGTATTTACTGTACACCTTTTTCACCACACTTTTTTGGGGTTATTATATAGGCGTCCATTTTTCCTAATTTAATCCATCTGTTTGTCAGGTTTTTACTGAACAATTTCAACACATTTTTTTTTGGTTATTATATATAGGCGTCCGGTTCACTTACCCAGCTTTCACTGGATAACTAACCAGTAATTACCAATTATCATAGTTCAGATATCGTATTCGTTATGTTATTCCGACCAAGCTTAGTGACACATGTAAATAAGATGATGATTATAAATTACCAGATGTTGTTGAATGTTTTATGTTTGTTTAAATATTTCTAAAATACAAGCATACAAATGAGCCGCGCCACAACAAAACCAACATAATGGGTTTTGCGACCAGCATGGATCCAGACCAGCCTGCTCATCCGCGCAGTCTGATCAGGATCCATGCTGTTCGCTATTAGTTTTTTTACTTGTTATTATTATTATTATGCAGGGTCTGTAAGCTAACAGCATGGATCCTGATCAGACTGCACGGATGCGCAGGCTGGTCTGGATCCATGCTTGTCGCAAACCCATTATGTTGGTTTTGTCGTGACGCGGCTCAAATGACTGTGTTTGTAACTTATACCTATTGTTACTATTATATGGTTTAAATATAGCAAATAACATATAAACTAAAACCAAAAATTGTTAACTGTTAGTTTCAAATTGAAAATCCTACAGTCAAACATGATTTTCTCCAAATGAAGAATTGGAGAATTGATCTTCAATAACTGATAACAGGTCTTGTTACATTCAGTCCAATTATTCAAATTAATTAAGTACAAAAAAGTGGGCGTGTATATCAAATAAAAAAGGAGGCGTGGCACTTACTGTTTTGTAGGTTGATTGACAGATGTGTGCTTCTCCATCCAACCAATCATAACAGACCTTGTAGAGCTGGTGGCACAGCTGATGAAGCATTCCAGATAGTGTGAATATTTTACTAAAAAATATAACACAAACAGAAAAAAAGAATAAGTTATTGTGTTACCGGAATAACAAAATGGCCACGATGATTATCATTTTTGCAAAACAGAGGAAGGAACAATGTTGATGATAAAAATAATGATTACTTAGTAAATTCTGATATTATTTTGCATATTAATTAAGTTTAACCTGGAGTGTGACTACTGACAAAGTTCTTAAAGGGACTCCACTGAGGATCTTTGACATGACAGGACTCAAAATATTTTTTTGGAGATTAATGTTCAATTTGATGTAGGTCAAGATAAGTTTAAACTTGTTTGCGAAATTTCAATTAACTTGATGACTCACTTTTACAGAATAACCATTTTTTACTGTGAAAATTAACCCAGAAATGCTTTTCACTCAAATTGGGCTAACAATAGCACAAACATATTAATTTCAATTTATTTTTCAGAAAAAGCCTTAATTATCTTTGCACATTTTTCTGTGTTAATTGTGCCCCCAGGTGATCTATGTAAAAAAAAAGTTCAAATGTTCTGTTTTTAGGCTTTTATACCTCTGTGGAGTTCCTTAAAAAATAAAAAACAAAAAAAAACCAAACGTACTTTAAATGTAATGTTGTGTGATTTTCAAAAATTTATTTCATACATCTGGTGTTAAATGTCTTTTTATAGGTTGATTGACAGTTGTGTGCTTTTCTGTCAATCCAATCAAAATAGACTTTGGTTTAAATAGAGGATATTGAATGAGTGTAGGTTCAGTACTGAATTTATTGAACAAGTTGAATAAAATTATATTATTTGAGCCTCTGGCAAGCAAAATATTTTTTTATTCAACATGTGCAATAAATTCAGTTATGAATCTACACTCATTCAATAAAGAGTGTGCAAAGAGAGTGCAAAATAATTATTTTTAACTGACGCGCCTATTGTTTAAGGCTAACATTTAGGGTGTCTTTACGCCATCTTTGTATAGCGCAAATGGCATCATGTCAAAATATATGCAAGGCTGTGCAACACCATTTTTTACGGAGTAGCAAATTAGTCAGCAAGGGTATAAAGCATACGACTGACCTCTCCCAGGACTTTGTTAGATTCAGGCTTATAAACTGCAAATAAATTTTGTATAACAAAAAAAAAGTAGGTGTGTCTAATAATTAAAATAATAACTAAAAGGAGGCGTGTCACTCACCTTGCCGCGCCCATTCCTTGATGTGTGCCTGGAATTTTGTGTATGTTACATTCTTGTACTTGCCTATAGCTATATGATGAAGATCCACGTTCAAGCAAGTCTCTGAAATATATAGAATACACAAGGAATAAAACTAAATCCTTTTTTTTTTTTTTTTTTTTTTTTTCCAATTTTATTTTTTTATTTTTTTTTTTTTTTGTGAGTGTTTAATTAAATCACATCAACACTGTAAAGGTCATAATTCATGGTGATTTCATACATGTGAACTCTCCCACTTTAAGCGGGAGACCCCCCTGTGACTTTCTGCAGCCATATTTTCAAAGATTTTTGTAAAAAAAGTAAGTGGTTTATTTTCACAAGTTAAAGAAATCTCCCTCTTTTTGATGTCACAACTTTCTTCTTTGTTTATTGCAAATTCGAAAATCTCCCTCTTTTTTGGAGAAAAATCTTGCACTTGATCAATGAAAATAGTTCACATGTATGTGATTGAATTACCAGCTGTTCTGGTCATGTATAAAACCTCAGGTCAGGTTACCCTCGTGCATCATTTTAGGTAACCTGATGTGACTTATTAATTTACTATAAAGGCTAAGACATGTGCAAGTAATAGAGGCTACGGTAACAATCCCTTTTGTCACATCGTAACATCTCGATTCTGCTGACTGACCTAATTTCACAAATTCCAGATGCTCGGGTTTAATTTTCCATGTCACAAACGTGCAGTATTATAAAAAATTATATAAACATCATGATTATCCAATGAAAAACGACGTCACATTAGCGTGCAGTATTTATTATAAAGAATTTTATAAACATCATGATTATCCAATGAAAAACGACGTCACATTAGCGTGCAGTATTTATTATAAAGAATTTTATAAACATCATGATTATCCAATGAAAAACGACGTCACAAACGTGCAGTATTATATAATGTTATATCCATCATGGCATTATATAAACAGACCAATATCTTTTGTCATATCACTGGGGTAATTTACTATCCATTTAGCTTACAGAACGTCGGTGGTTCTACTCAGGTGCCCGTTCATGCCTGAAATAATTCATGGAAGGGCACCTGAAGTCTTCCTCCACCAGTAAATCTGAAACGTCGCCAAATGACCTATACTGTGTCAGTGATATGTAAAACCCAATCAAACAAACAAACATTTGTAAAAAACGTCGCCAAATGACCTATACTGTGTCAGTGATATGTAAAACCCAATCAAACAAACAAACATTTAACTGGGGTAATTTAGACAGTTAGTGCTGAAAAAAATAATTTGTAATATTGTCTGCCAACTTAATGTAAACATTCGCTTCGATTAGATATTGAAAACATGGGTGAGATATAAAGTTGTATCACACTGTTAAAAGCAAAGTGATATATAAAGTATTTTGATTCCTGTTCAGTACACTGTAATTTTACAAAGAGGAACACAAATAATAAATCAATGCGGATGAAAGCCACGTTTTCGCGGCCTATCTCAGCCAGGTCACGTCAAGCTATCTTAATAGAATAAAAACGCTACATCAGAAAAAAACAAAAGCACCGCTGCTATTAAAAGGCAGTATCTAAGCTCCTCTGTTGAAAATTCTAAATTAAAAAGGGGGATAATTTCAAAAATATTGTTTTCAGAATTATGCCCCTTGTCCAACAACTGCACCTTATGTCAAGAAGGCAATGAGAATTTCAAGTTTCAAGTTTATACCTATGAAATGTTTAAATGTTGAAATGTTTAAATTAAATGAGCCGTGTCACGACAAAACCAACACAATGGGTTTGCGACCAGCACGGATCCAGACCAGCCTATGCATCCGCGCAGTCTGATCAGGATCCATGCTGTTCGCTATCAGTTTCTCTACTTGTTAAAGGGTTTGTAAGTGAACAGCATGGATCCTGATCTGACTGCGTGGATGTGCAGGCTGGTCTGGATCCATGCTGGTCGCAAACCCATTATGTTGGTTTTGTCATGACGCGGCTCAAATATTCTCTGTTAAAAAGGGACATTACTCCTAAAAATATTGCTTTCAGGATAATTAGTTCCTCTTATATGACACATGAAAAACAAATATTCTAAGTTTCATTTTGCTTTTTGGAACTTACAATATTGATAAATCTTCATTAATATTTTGAGCATTATATTGATGATATAAAAACATAAAAAAAATTGAGTTACAGGATCTTTAATTAATATTAATATGGTGTGAAAATGTCTATAAAATTGAAAAACAAAAATCATAGTTACCTACCTTGCCACACTAAGTGAAGGTCACAGAGTTCACACAGGGTTCAAAGGTGAAAGGTTAACCAACCAAGGATGGGGTGAAAAGCAGAAAAAGGTTAAACACACATGCCACAAACAAAAAATTAATTCAAAACAAAAACAAAATTTTTTCATATGATTTTCTCTCCCTTAATTCATACAATAAACTTTTTGGAAAAAGGATTGTCTGCTGAAAATGATGTCTGATATCTATAGTACGAAAGACCCGTAGGGCCATTTCAATTTCATGAATTCCCGATTTCATCTTAGTCAATTCACAATTTGAACTTCACAATTCAACTTCATGAAATCACGATTTCAACTTCACAAATTCACGATTTTAACTTCATGAATTCATGATTTCAACTTCACGAATTCAACTTTGTGAATTCGTGAATTCAACTTTGTGAATTCACGATTTCAACATTTTATGAATTCACGATTTCAACTTCATGAATTCACGATTTCAACTTCATGATTTCAAGATTTCAACTTCATGATTTCAAGATTTCAACTTCATGAATTCACGATTTCAACTTCTTGAATTTAACTCCATAAATTCACGAAGCTGAAATCGGGAATTCATGAAGTTGAAAGGCCCCCACCGGTCTTTCGTACTAAAGGGACTCCATTTAAGTTTTTTTTCATCATGACAGGACTGTAAATATTTTTTTTTTCATCAGCTTCGTGAATTCCCGTTTTCAAAATACGGAATTAACAAATTCACAATTCAGCTTCATGAATTCACGACTTCAACTTCACGACACGATTTCAACTTCATGAATTTACGATTTCAACTTCACGAATTCAACTTCACAATTTCACATTTTTTCGACTTCATGATTTCAACTTCATGAATTCACGATTTCAACTTCTAGAATTTAACTTCGTGAATTCATGAAGCTGAAATCGAGAATTCATGAAGTTGAAATGCCCCCACCGGTCTTTCATACTAAAGAGACTCCATTAAAGTTGGGTTTTTTTTTCCAGATTTGTGTACCATTTGATTTAGGTCTAGACCAATCAAAGTTGTACACGGACATTTTATGATATTTGATAATAAATTCACTGTCTCTTTTTAGTTTCGTTTTTTTTTTCTTTTTCTTTTTCGAATTATCATTTTAATTTTCAATATATATAACCCAAAAATTGAAAAAAGTGTTTAGAATTGATGCTTTTTACTCAAATGGAGGTTAAAAATTGCACATATAAAAATCAATTTTCAATTTTACATATTTCTGGCCTGCTCAGTTGAACCAGGGTCTATAAATTTTGTATTTGAAAGACCCTGGTTGAACTACCATTATAAAATTTTGTAAGAATTTAAAATTTCATGAAACCTCAGTCTGGAGTTCCTTTAATGATCGTATACATTATAATCAACAAGACTTCTCTTTGTACTTTTTTGAACTTTGACAGTCTTGAACTCTGTTACAAGTGGAGAAACTGACAGCGAACAGCATGGATCCTGATCAGACTGCGCTTTTTACTGCGCAAAGCGCAGACTGGTTTGGATCAATGCTGGTCACAAACGCACTATGTTGGTTTTGTCCTGATGCGGCTCAATTATCATCTATGTTTTATTTTAAATACATCATAAATTCAATTGACCTTTTCGAAATCCATGGGCCTGAGGGTTAAGAAAATTAAAGTGTCGGACTAATATTTTGTTCAATACATTTAATTATCATTTAAAAAAAATTATTGATTTATTTCCTTTTAATCCAAAAAAAAAGACCAAAAACATACTTTATCGTGATTATATGCCAATTAGGCGTCGAATTCCCCAGAGCAATTGTAACAGAAAGTACCGCAAAATGGCATTTAGCTAGGGTGTTTGTTTTTTTTTCACATTTTTTCAATATTTAGAAATCATTTTAATCAAATAATATCAAACAAACAAACTTTATCAAATGCTATAAATAGAGGTATATCCCAACTAATTGTATCCATATCTACCAAAATATTGAACCCAAAGTTAATAAATGATAAACCCAAAGTAACAGCTAATCTGACAAAGGGTGTAAAAACTAACCCAAATGGTAAACAATGACCCAAACTGGTAACAATGTACCCAAAGAAATAAATAGAGAGAAAATCATACGAAATACAAACACAGTGATATGCTCAATTAGAGAAGCATCTTTTTAACAGCGACAAAAACAGTGTTCTACTGAAATTCCATTGTTAGTAAAAAGTTTCACTTTGATTTAGAGATTATTTATAAACAAACTGTTAGTAACAAACATTTTGACTTTGAGATTATTTTTTTTTCAAATGAAAAATTTTTTTTATATCACTTTGGCTCCAAGATTATTATTAAAAAACATTATATTTGATGAAAAAATGATCATTTGAGTTACAAAAATTATTCCGTAATTACATATTGACAATAAAATCACAAATTAAAATTATATATTAACTACCTTCTTTTTTTATGGGTTTAGATTTAAACAAAAATCACACACAATTATGAAGGTAAAAACTACATTTTAATTAATCAAACATAGTGAATCTAGCCTATAAAGCTTTAGCAACTAAATATAGAAAATATTTCAGTCTTTACTCTACAGAGTTTTAACACTGTTTTATTTTTAAATGAGCAAAATGACTAAAAAAAAACACAAAATAATGAACTTAAATTGACCCTACTTAAACAGCAGTTACTTACAAGTATATGAAATTTGTTTTGTTTCGTTTTATGGCGCACACCATTTAGGTCATATAAGACCGAAACACTGAAACAATGACTTTGGCTTAGACCTCAGGTCTTAAAAACTTAAAGCAACATCAGGGGTCAAAAGCCTTGATCTCACCTGCTGGAGCTAAGAGATGCATAGACTCCAGTAATTCGAACCTATTTAGTTGCCTCTTACGATCACGCAGTGTTAAACAGTGGCTGCCAGTCTAAATGCCTCAGCCCTTAACAGCAACCCCTCAGCCAAAAGGTTTAACTTTTATAAAATAAAGGACTTACAACAGTTTTGCTGCCAACCCTCAATATAAACAAAATATTGTTGAGTTATTGAGTTACAATCTATGTAAACCCTGGCAGTTTTTGTATTATGATTATTATCATCTCTTTTTTTTTTATTTATCTTAATTTTTGCACTGTGTTACAGGACTACTCTATTCATGCAAAGTAAAAAACTAGAACTATCACTAACATTGATTCATACCCCCACCTGCCACCTTAACTTTTTGACAAAACAAGTGGTCTAGAGCAAAATTTTAACTCAACCTATATTTCATGATGTTTCATCTGTGTCCCAATAATTATTACAATTAAATGCTTGTTAAAAAAGCATAATCATTATCTTTGTAAAAAAAATAGTTGTATGGAAACCATTTTTCTATTTTTAGTAACAGTAACCTTGACCTAACAGTGACCTTGACCTTAAATCTGTGGGGGTCCAAAAGCAATTTAAGTGAGGTCTCTTCATAATTTTGCTATATGCCATGTTTAATAACAATATATCATTGTAACCTAACTCTATTTATTATCTAGAAACCATTTTTCTATTTTTAGAAACAGTGACCTTGACCTTGACCCAAGGGGGTTCAAAAGCAATCCCAAACTGGGTTTATAAGCTTGCTTTATAATATGTTTGATTATGATATATCATATCTAACTCTAGTTATTGTCCGGAAACCATTTTTTCTATTTTTAGTAACAGTGACCTTGACCTCACCAATCACAACCTTGGTCTTTATATAAGCTTGGTATATAATGATATCTCACTCTATTTATTGTCCAGAAACCATTTTTCCATTTTTAGTAACAGTGAACTTGACCTTGACCCAAGGGGGTTCAAAACAAAAGTAATCCCAACCCATGTTTTTACTTAAGGTTGCTTTATACTAAGTTTAAATATTAGAACTCATTCCAAACTCCAGATTTGATATGAAAACCATGAAGTGGACCGACCTTAGCTGACAACAAACCAACCCTCAAGCTGATTACTATTATACGCCCTGAACCCCCCTGAGACTCACCCCCCACCCTACCCTTCCTCCACCACCCTCCCTCCTTTAAACTTTCTTTGTGGGGGTATGAAAAGGCAAAAATAAAAAAAAAAACATATACAAGTATAACTATATAGATTAAAGTGAATAAAGCTATATATCTAATGCCTGCAAATAGTACATGCACAAAGTCATTGCTAAATGGTTATACCTATCGCAAATAGAGAAACATAATATTTTGTTCCAGAACATTTCATTCTGTTTTCATACATAATTTTTTTGTGTGTTTAAACATAGGGCTTTCTGTGTTAACAATTCTTTTGTAGAATTGACCATAATGATTAGTGAAGACAACATAAATATGACCGATCATAAATTTCTATGAAAATTTTTTATCACTAGATTTTATAGCTTTAAACCCTTTAACAATAACAACATCTAAGTAACAGTTATTATAATAACATACAACTAACAGTAGGAGGGTAGAATGGAAAAAAAGTAGTTCTACTCGTACCGTTAAAAGTCACTACCAAGAAAATGAAAAAGAAATATTAAGTTTTAATAAATTGTGTTTATAGAAGAAATAATACTTATTTAAAAAAAAAAATCATGTAGTAGTGAAAGTTGTTTTAACTGTATATGATATAGGATAATATTCAATATCTGGATCGCATTAATTTTATTTTTGTTGTAATGAGTTCAATATTGAATTCCACTGGAAAAGTACACAGCTTTTAAACCTATATTGGACGAGGCCCTAGCCAAGTCTAATATAGACTTTGTAGCTGTATATGAGTCCTATAAAATCAGCCTTGTTCTAAACAATATTGAATGACCTTTTGATTTTTTTTTTTTTAAAAATTTTAACAGAACTTTGTTACTTCAAGTACAATAAGGAATTGGTATCATTTTTTTAACCTCAAAATAAAAATGAGGCTCATAATACGGAATACAATATGAATTTGATAAAGATATTTTGAACTTTGAAAATGAAAACAAGGCTATATGGGGTGTGATAAAAAATTGATATTGATGTTTTGGACTTTGGAAATGGACAGGAGGCCAATATGATAAGATTGGATCCAATATTGATTTTTATTGGATCATCACATGATTCAAATGCTGATAGTTCATTGGTTATATAATATAAGGTGTGAAATAAAAGATAGTATTCAATAGATTCGCATGAAATAATTTTACTTAACTTGTTTCATAAATTCAGTATTGAAGTTTCATTCATTCAATATCTTCTATATATTATAGGGAAAGTGATCTTTCTTTTATGAATTATTTTCTATACCTGTTCTCAATGTGAAAAGTTTTTAATAAGAAAGTGTGAAGGGACTTCTGGTGATTTTAACTCATGAAAATTCATCAAAACAAGATATGTTTGTAAAACATGTATGCCCCCTATCAGCAGCCAATTAGTCATGTGATAAGGTTATTATGCATGACTTCTGACCCAGTGATCAAACAATTAATAAGGGTTATCAAGTATCTACTGTTCATGACCTTAACCTTTGACCCCTTGACCCAAAACTCAATAGGGGTCATCTGCTGGTCACGACCAATCATCATACAAAGTTTGAAGTTCCTAGACCGAAGCGTTCTTAAGTTATTGATTTGAAAGAATTTTTACCTACAAGGTCAATGTGACCTTGCCCTTTGACCCCTTAACCCTAATATCAATAGGGGTCATCTGCTGGTCATGACCAATCACCATACCAAGTTTGAAGTTCCTAGGCCTAAGGGTTCTTTAGTTATTGATCGGAAACCGTTTTAACCTAAGAGGTCAATGTGACCTTGACCTTTGACCCCAAAATCAATAGGAGTCATCTACTGATCATGACCAATCACCATATCAAGTTTGAAGTCCCTAGGCCTAAGGGTTCTTTCATTATTGATCGGAAACTGTTTTTACCTACAAGGTCAATGTGACCATGACCCTTGACCCCTTAACCCCAAAATCAATAGGGGTCATCTGCTGGTCATGACCAATCACCATACCAAGTTTGAAGTTCCTAGGCCTAAGGGTTCTTTAGTTATCACTCGGAAACCATTTGGTCTACGGACCGACGGACCGACAAGTGCAAAGAAATATACCCCCTTTTCTTCGAAATGGGGGCATTATTATTGAATTACAGTGTGATATGTGATAATTAAATAAATAAACCTTAAACATTCATGAATATCCATGGCAATTAAATAAAAAAAAACTTAAACATTCGTGAATATTCACAGAAATTAAATAAATATACCTTAAACATTCATGAATATTAATGGAAATTAGATAAATAAACCTTAAACATTCATGAATATTCATGGAAATTAAATAAACCTTGAACATTCATGAATATTCACAGAAATTAAATAAATATACCTTAAACATTCATGAATATTCACAGGAAAGTCAACAAACCAATTAAATTGTAACACTTAAGTGATTGAAAACTTAAAAATAACCCAATGCTTGAATTTAATTAAGCCAACACTTAAGGGTAAATTTCATTCTTTAGATAACAACAATACTTAAATTTGAATTAGGCCAATACTTAAAGGTAAATTTCATACTATATATGACCTCATACTTAAAAGTAAAATTGATGAACTTAAACCCGTATGTATGTGTTTTTTTATTTTTTCTATTTTCTAAACATTATGAAAGCATGTGCATCTTTAAGTAAGACACATAGCCATAATAGACATGAACTTCTGCGCATCTACTAGCCAACAGAAAAAAAGAGCCCTTAATACCTAATTGGACAAAAGTAGTCTATATCGGATTAATAGTCTATTTGTTAAAGAAGAAAAAGAAGGAAAAAGAAAAGAGAATATAAAAAACTAAAAAGAAAAAAGTTTTGAGGTGAGTATATGTAGAGCAAAGCAGCCACCTATCAATAACCATGGTGATATATTTGATACATGTGTCTATATATACATTCACAATATAGCCGATATAAATACATAATGCATATATATAAGAAATATCTACCCGTCTTATAAGAGGGTCTTAGCAAAAAGTGCCAATAAGGACCCCTGTCTTATAACCGGTCCGTCTTGTAGGCGAGTAATTACGGTATATGATAAATATATATCTATATGCTATTATCTAAGGGTAATATTATACCTTGTTTTTCCCCGGCTGGAGCTGGAGGTCTCTCAAAGAGAGCAATTTGGGCTGAGTTAAAAAACAAGGCGTTCACATAGCCACCAACATCGCCGAAGACCAAGATAGCTTCGTTAGGGTTCATGGGGTTTGACCTGAAACAAAAACAAACAAATGATTTACTGTTACACGAAACCTTAAACAATGAAACATTTACATGAGACCTGGGTATAAAAACACACAGAAAACATTATCTGACAGTCAAATCTTACAAACATAAAAAAATCAATTAAATCAATTTTTTCCATCCCCCTTTTTGCAAAAATACTTTATCACTTTTAGAGAAGGGCCCCTTTCCACTACTAGTGAAAAATGCTCGGTTAGAATATGAAATATATTTCACTAAGAGAGTTAACTTTTAACCATGCATATGACACAATAGTGTGCTATCATTTTCTTATTGTAAAAATTTTACAAAGTTAAAATCTAAAAGTGTCTGTGCTATTTCACACAAAAAAGACAACAACATTTTATAAAAAATTGGGCCAAAGGAAAATGCAACAGCTATACAGTGGGTGTAAATGGGTGTTATGGGGTGTGATGGGGTTGTGATGGGTGTAATTTTGGTGTAATTGGAGTGAAATAGGGGCCATGGGGTGTAATTGGTGCGTGAAAGGGCATATTATGGGGTGTAATTGGGGTGTAACATGTATTTTGTTACGGTGTAATTGGGGTGTTATTGTATGTAATTAGGATCTGCTTGGTGTAATTGGGGAGTTATGGGTATAATTGAAGTGTAATGGGCATGTGCTGTGGCTGTAATTAGTATGCAATGGGTGTAATTGGGGTGTAATGGCAGATGATAAAAGTATAATTGGGGTGTGATGGGGGTATAATTGGAATGTAATGGGCATGTGCTGTGACTGTTATCAGTTTGCAATGGGTGTAATTTTAGGTGATTTGGGCATCTGATGAGGTGAAATGGGTGTAATTGGTGTGAAATATGCATACGTAATTTGGGTGAGATGTCAGGGATTAATTGGGATTGACACAGGGTGTAATTGGGGTGTGATGTGGGTGTAATGGGGGTTGATATAGAGTAAACATAATATCGCTCACCAGTAGTCTAGACAGAGGGGTGTATACTGCAGATTCTGAACCTTGTACTGGCAACTAAATTCCACCTTTGAACTCAGGTCATATATGGCTGAAAAAATTGAAGAAAAAAATTACCTTTAGACACAGATCATAATTATATGGCTAAAAATTACAAGAAAACAAACTGACCATATAATAAACAGGTAATACAAATATATATGGCTAAATATTAAACCTTAAAAAAACAGATCCGTTGGACTTGACCTTTTAAAATAAGGTCAAATATGGCTGAAAATGCTATCTTTCCTAGGGCTGAAAGCTATCTATAGTCAAACAATGTATATGCCTATATAATAATAAAATACTATTTATCATTTTAAATTAAGGTTAGAATATGAAATCAAACTGAGCTTTGCTCTCATAATATAAAAGGTTTCGTATATTTACCAATCTCCTTGCTCGTAAAGGATAAAGCGATCTTGTTCACGTTATGAAGAACAACAAAGTAGGTCACCCAGAGGTCACGTGCCTTGCACGAGTCTGTGCCGGTTTTCAAGGCCCTCTGAAGCTTCATATCCAATCCCCAGCTAGAAATTGTTCCCTCCTACAACATCAGTGAAAAATATATTCTATATCTTACTATAAACAGTGAAATATAAGCTATATCAAACTATAAACAGTGAAATATCAACTATATCATACTTTAAGTAGTGTTAATATTTCTACATAATACTATAAACAGTGAAAATATAAACTGTATCATATGAAAAGTAATGAAATATAAACTATATCATACTACAAGAAGTGAAATATCAACTATATCATACTGCATCAGTGAAATATAAACTATATCATACTACAAGAAGTGAACTATATCATATTTTTCACTGATAAATCAGTAACCCACTCAAAAGCATAAAATAAATAAACTGTATCATACTAAAAGTAGTGAAATATAAACAATATCATACTACAAGAAGTGAAAAGATAATCTATATCATACAACAAGTAGTGTAATATTAAATATGTCATAATTTACTTGTTAATCTTATAGATATCTGTTAAAAAAAATCTTTTTAGATTTAGATATCTTCTTCATTAGAAATGTTTAGGAAATGTAAACTTAACTTAGGTAAAAAACTTTATACCACATACTGTCATTTAAATGTGCTTATACTAAATAAGCAATCCACTCCCCCATCCCCCATCCCCACCCCTTAAAGACTTGTCATTTTCATACTGTACAGGATCATAAGTATTATATGATCTAAATATAGCTGCAATCTTATTGGTTCAGAGTTCCAAACAGTTGTCAACAGAGCTTTTTATAGAATCATATTCACTGGGTGTAATATCATATTTACTGGCTGAATTGGATTTTTCCAGTCTAAAAATAGATTGAGACTCTTATTCAATGACCATATATTATTTTTAGTAAACTGTATATAACGCCAGCTTATTAAACAAGAGCTGTCCGTAAGACAGCGCGCTCGACTTTTTTAGTGCTTGCCTATAATACAAAACATTGACAGTTAAGGGCCATAATTCAAATAAAATCTTTGACAGAATTACCTTCTCCTGGACATGTTTGGGAATCATGATTGTAAACAAGTATTCCAACTTTCAAATTAATATCTCAAACAGTTCAGTCAAAAAGTGGACTGGTACTAAAAACTTAACCAAGATTCTAAGTCGATAAAAGGCCTTAATTTTTAAAACAAATCCTTGACAGAGTTACCTTCTCTTGCGTACAGATGGGGGTAATGATGTGAAATAGCATTAAAAGTTTCAAAGCAATATCTCAAAAGGGTTAAGGCAATAAGTGGATTTTACCCATATTCAATGTATTTTCTAAGTCAAAAAGGGGCATAATTCTGTCAAAAACCTTGACAGAGTTATGTCCTCTTGTCTGTTGATGAAGGTCGTGATGGTAAACAAGTATGGTCAGTTTCAAAGCAATACCTCCAATGGTTTTGAAATAAAGTGAGGTGGTACAAAAAACTTAACCAAGATTCTAAGTCGATAAAAGGCCTTTATTTTTAAAAACAAATCCTTGACAGAGTTACCTTCTCTTGCGTACAGATGGGGGTAATGATGTGAAATAGCATTAAAAGTTTCAAAGCAATATCTCAAAGGGTTAAGGCAATAAGTGGATTTTACCCATATTCAATGTATTTTCTAAGTCAAAAAGGGGCATAATTCTGTCAAAAACCTTGACAGAGTTATGTCCTCTTGTCTGTTGATGAAGGTCGTGATGGTAAACAAGTATGGTCAGTTTCAAAGCAATACCTCCAATGGTTTTGAAATAAAGTGAGGTGGTACAAAAAACTTAACCAAGCTCAATACACTTTCTAAGTCAAAAAAGGGCCATAATTCTGTCAAAAAACCTTGACAGAGTTATGTACTCTTGTCTGTAGATGGAGGTTATGATGGTGAACAAGTATGGTAAGTTTCAAAGCCATACTTGTAATACTTCTGAAATAAAGTGGGGTGGTACGAAAAACTTAACCAAGGTGTGACGCCAACGCTAACGCTAACGCCGACGCCGACGCCGACGCCGGGGCGAGTAGGATAGCTCCCCTTTTCATAGAAAAGTCGAGCTAAAAATAGTTGTTGCGTTTTGTTCTTTATGGTATATTTCTCAATTAAAAGATCATTACTTTACAAATTATAGTTAAAAGTTACACTGCAATGAGGAGTATAAACTTGAATTACTTTTGTACGGGCACTCACTGTGTTCGCGCAGTTGTTGCACGCCCTACATGTGGGTCTTTTTCCCCCGAGCTTCAACGAAACAGGCAAAAGTTGAACATGTATAACATTGTACTTTCTGTGATTTTTTTTATAAAATTCTTGTAGCCAATTCATATAATAAAACAATTATTGACTAGTGTGCCATTGAATATGATGGTGATATTCACCGACAGAAAGTCATATTGACCGAGGATATTATATGTCATCTGCCGGTGAACATCACATCATTTTAAATGGCACACTAGTCAATAATTGTAAGGTATTACTATCCAAAGTCCCTGTCGGGATTCAAACCCACAGCGGTGAGGGGCAAGTGGTTTGAAGTCAAGGACCTTCACTACAATAAACCACTCAGTCACAGACGCCCCTGTATAGTGTTACATGACTTTAAATGTATTAACACATACCTTACTAATAGCAATGTATCTATTTGCATTCTTCAAGAAAGCAATACGCTGAATAAGTTCCTTGTGAGGACTGAAACAACAAATAAAATCATTCTAAAGCAGAAACCTAATTAATTTAATTAAGACCGTTCTTCTTTGGAAACCTAATTAATTTAATTAAAACCTTATTAACTCCAGCTAAACCAGAAACCTAATTAATTTAATTAAAACCTTATTTCCTTGGAAACAGAAACCTAATTAATTTAATTAAAACCTTATTTCCTTCTTAACCAGAAACATAATTAATTTAATTCAAACATCATTAATTCCTTCTTAACCAGAAACCTAATTAATTTAATCAAAACCTTATTTCCTTGGAAACCAGAAACCTAATTAATTCAATTAAAACCTAATTAATTCAATTCAAACCTCAATAATAATTCATGCTAAACCAGAATCCTGATTAATTTAATTCAAACCATAACAGAAGAAAAATTAAACGGAAACAATACAGTATTTTCATCTTATGGTAATGAAAATTATCATATTTCACTCTAGCCTACCTAGGTAAATGCTTTAGATCTTTCCACTGTGGGACCTGGGTAGATTTCACCCTATCATCTTTCTCATAGAACTCTAGTAACATGTGTGACGCGAATTTATCCCAGTCGACCGTACCTTCCCTCGTTACATCTATTTTGTCAAAAAGTTCACCGTACTGAAAACATGGCGAAATGAAGTAAAATATAATAAGTATAATACATTATTTTGAAATATTTTCCATCTTAAATCTCCATTGGCCAAATCAGAAATCAGCTAAAATTTTCTTTACGTCATAATCATTAGTCAGGAATTACTTCTAAAAATAGCTTGCTCCTCATTGGTCAGAAATGATTTCTATAAATAAACAAGCTATTATTGGTCAGAAATGATTTCTATAAATAAACAAGCTATTATTGGTTAGAAATGATTTCTATAAATAAACAAGCTTCTCATTGGTCAGAAATGATTTCTATAAATATCAAGCTATGTCCTCATTAGACAAAATGGCCACCAACTAATTAAAACAAGAGGGCCAAGATGGCCCTAGATTGCTCACCTAGACCAATCAAAACCCATCCGAGGAATTACTTAGACAAGCATCCTGACAAAGTTTGATGACAATTGAGTCAAAAATGTGACCACTAGATTTTGATCCCAGGTGACGCATATTCGAACTTGACCTAGAAATCATCAAAACAAACATGCAGACCAATTATCAGGATATTTGAATAACAACAGTAGCCACTAGAGAGTTAACAAGATTTTTCTATTTTTTGCTCCTGTGACCTAATTTTAATCAGAAATGACCAATATTTAAAATCATCCGAGCAATTAGCTAGACAAGAATTCTGACCTGAAGTTTAATGACAAATGAGTCAAAATTGTGATCACAAGAGTGTTAACATGGCTTTTCCATATTTGAAAGGTGTGACCTAGTTTTTGACCCCAGGTGACCCAAATTTGAACTTGACTTAGAAATCATCAAAAAAACTTTCAGACCAATATCAAGGATATTTGGATCAAAACAGTAGCCACTAGAGTGTTAACAAGATTTTTCTTTTTTTAGCTCCTGTGACCTAGTTCAAAATTACTCGAGCAATTACCTAGACAAGCATCCTGACAAAGTTTTACGATGATTGAGGCAAAAATGTGACTGCTACAGTGTTAACGAACAAGTGTGGAAGGACGACAATTTAGACGGACGACGGACATTCAAAGATCCTAAAAGCTTATACCCTGAGCTAGCTCAGGTGAGCTAAAAAATACCTATATTCATTTGATCTTATAATTAATAATTGGCAATTCCAAAATTAATTCAAACCAGGACATTACATAACAGACCATGTTAAAAAATTGTCATAAAGGGTTAAAGTATAGTTTATTAATCTTCAAGTTATGATCCGGACAAGGAAAATGCAACGAACGTCTGGACCGACAGCCCGACCGACCAACCAACCGACCGACCACTGGGTGACTCCTATATAACCCCCCCCCCCCAAACTTCATTTTTTGGGGGTATAGTTACTCACCTCATCCCTAGAACCTTTATTCAGGAGAATTGACAAGGCTTCACAGAATTGTTCTTTGTTTAAACTCAATTTATTGTCATAACCATCGCCTTCATTCTGTAATGGAACAATCTAATGAATATTCATGAATCTGATGGAGGAAAAAAAAGAGAGTTATAGATAGGAAGCGATAATATGGACATTAATCTCTAAATTTAATTACATTTAAAGATTCTGTATGTTGTTGTAATTAAGGATGAAACATACAGTTAAGTGAAGTTTTATGTATGTATATAATTATTCTTGTATAACAATTTCCAAACATCCAAGAATATGTTAAATATGTACAGCAAATGTTTATATACATGTACATTATAATGAAATGAATATTCATGAATCTGAGAGAAAAAAAAAAGAGGATTACAGATAGGAAGCGATAATATGGACATTAATCTCTAAATTTAATTACGTTTAAAGATCCTGTAATTGTCGTAATTGTTTGTTTCATTTTACGCCTTTTCCCAACAGTATTTCAGTCATATAGGCGGAATTATTGTAATAAAGGATGTAAAATACAGTTCAAGAATGTATATTATTATTCTTGTAAAACAATTTCCAAACATCCAAGAATATGTTAAATATGTACAGCAAATGTTTATATACATTATAATTAAACCTTTAAATTGATGCATTCATTTTTTATTGAAAAAAAAAAAAAAAACTGGCTTAGACTTTATCGAAAATAAATTTCTAATTACCTCCCTTTATTAACATGAAAGTGTAAATTTGGTAATATCTTTACAAATAATGCTTTTTGAAACTAATACATTATTGACAGATCTTCATCTTATGATATTAAACCAGAAAAAAGGCACTTTAAATCTAAAGTAAAAACGTTCACTCAGAAACTTCTCTCAGAAAAAAACTACAGATACAAAGAGATAATTTGGATATATAAATCTTAAATTTGGTAACATTCAAACTTAGTGGTAAACTAACATTCTCCTTCTTCATCTATACATATCTTATCTTATCTAAATTATTGATAAGTCAAATTATAATTGATAATCTTTACTTTTACTTCAAATTCTCATCCTTCATCTATACTATAAAAGTATCAAAAAGTCAAATTATCATTATTTATCTATACATTTATTTCATATCAAGTCAAATTTTCCTTCTTCATTTTCACTTTAACATTATCAATAAGTCAAATTATCATTATTTATCTATACATTTAATTCATATAAAGTCAAATTCTCATTCTATATCTATACTATAAAATTATCAACAAGTATTATTATCATTATTGATCTATACATTTATTTCATATAATGTCAAAATCAAATTATTCAAGTATACTTTAAAAATATCAATAAGTCAAATTATCATTATCTATCTATACATTTATTTTATATAATGTCAAATTCACCTTTTTCATCTATACTGTAAAATTATCAATAAGTCAAATCATCATTATTGATCTATACATTTATTTCATATAATGTCAAATTCTCATTCTCATTTATACTTTAAAATTATAAATCAATAAGTCAAATTATCATTATTGATCTATACATTTTTTCATATACAATTTCATTCACTCCCAATAAGAAGCATATTGCTTCCAACTTTTCACTTTATTAATTTTCTATGAATATATAAAACTTTAAAAAAGATTGTGCATAGAAAACTCACTGATATAAGTCAGTTTCATGACACCAGAATACTCAGGTAAACAAGAATTTTAAAATATTAAGTAAAAGGGGTAAAAAAAGAACATTAAAATTACTATCTAACACTATAAGTATAAAATTATGTTGTTTAGTACATTTAATGATAAGTAACTAGAGCTGGCCTTATAAATATCTTTGTTTCCACTCCTTAGATTAATGTCAGATTTGGTAGATTTTACACACAATTTTTTTTTTGACCTGATACTGAAATTGAATTCTATAGGTGCGTCTTTACATCAAGTTTTTTCTTCCTCTTTTGCAATTATTCCTTGTAATATGTCCCCAAAATTTAAAGGGCAGGGCTGCTTCTTCACCCTTTGAAAAAAAGCCCCGAGGTGTTAAAAAATGTGAATGCTTTCAATGCATGCAAAGTATAAAAGTTTTATTTAATATACATCCAGGTTTTCAAAATTGTAAGATGAAGATGCTTAAATATTTTCAGTATTTTTTTTTTTTTTTTTTTTTTTGGTATCAGTGATTTTTTTTGGGTTATTTAAGCAGCAGGAAAAAAGGAAACAAACAATATTTTACAACAGGCCTTAAATATCGGTCAGTATTTCCTACATGTAGTAGAAAACCATAAAGAACATTGTTAAGAAGTTTGGAGGCATACTTGTGTTAAACACCACCTCTAAATAAAAGACCACCCTGTAAATAAAAGCCACATTCATTGATCAAAGAAAAACAGTAATGTACATTCCTATTAAACGCCCCCAGATGCTAAACATTTTCCAAAAAGGGGAGCTATTATTATAACACGTTTTTTCCTAAGTCCATAAATCATTTAAAATACATTTAGTGTTCACAAGTGTTGGTAATCATAAACATTAAAATGTGTTAAAATTTTTAATTTCATGTGATACATTTTTGTGTTTACTATGAAATAAAATGGTTTCTGAAAGATTTGAATAAAATTGCGGATTTATTAAAGAGTTCACCACGAGTTCACCACTCATGAGCAGATTTTTTTCCATATCAAAAAGCCTTGGAGGGGGGAGGGGTTTATTAGGGACGGGGCGTTTATTAGGAATTTTACGGTAACCTCAAAATAAAGACCATATTGAGGGCTTGGTGCGAAAGGGTTGTAACTCATATTAAAAAAAGAAGTTAAAGACCCTTTCACACCAAGCAGTCGATTATTTAATTTATTATATCTAAAAAAAAAAGTCAAGGTTCAATCCCTCCTTTCAATGGCCTTTATTTATAGGTTTCACAGTATTTGGAAGCATTATTCACAACCACAGTTTTACATATTTATTTTGAGCTGACATCAACAGAAACAATATTGATGTATTGTTGATATTTTTTCGTTAATTACTTAATAGCATAGCAGAGTGGAAAAAAATATATCAATCTATTAATAATAACACATTAATAAATTGTCTACAAATTAACAGAATCACATGTTATATATAAAAGACATGTTCAAAATGCCATTATTACTTCATGGACTTAATCAAGTTCTTTTATTTACCAAAGAAAAATTTGGTCATCAAAAAAATCATCCAGAAGGAATAAAATATCATTTTACACACATGGTTAGAAGATTGTCACAGTTAAGCTTAGAAAATTATCACAGCTTAGAAAATTATCACAGCTAAGAAAGAAAATGTCAAAATTTATGAAAATCATAAATAAAAATTTTAATGAACTACCCCTCGCCATTTTTGTTTATTTTTGTTATAATCTTACCCAGTACACAAGGTCTTGTTTGAGGGCGGGTGTTTTTGTCTAAAATTTCAACACCAATGTGAGAAAACAAACAAATTTTTTTACAACACAATGGGTTAGTAAACAAGTGTTAAAAAACAAAAACATTCTTCTTCATTCCTCTGTCCAAAACCTACCAATCACACAAAATACTCCCAAATTACAAATCCTGCTCTTACAATTCCCTCCCCACTTCATTTTCCCCTCATTTTTCAAATTTCAGGCCAACCTGAAATCGCTGAATGAATGTTATTAAACACAATTTACACTTCATTCTGTAAGAAGTTAAAACAACTGCAAATGCATAAAAGCAGAACAATTAATACAAAATAAAAAGGGCATGCATGACTAGGGGTGTGGATCGTTGGATAAGTGACGATCCGATCCGAACCACGATTCATCACTTACGATTCACAAATCGAACCACAAATCTTTTGTTATCAAGACACCCATAAAAACATGTACATAAGTTATAAAAACATGTTTATTTTTAAAAAAAAAAAAACCACAATACTAAACATTAAACATATAAAATATAAACTAGGTTTATGTTTTTATTCTTTGGATGAGTATTTTTGTTTTGTTTTTTGAAACCTATTACTTCTAGCTCAGCATCATGGTACATGGTCTTTAACCGGTAAATTGTATTTAGGTAAACTTCATATAATATTTACTCAAATCGTATTTTATCGATTTTAAAAGTGTGAGAAACAGTCAATGTATATAAAAAAGATTAGATCGCGATCCACGATCTCTGGGCTTACGAATATTCAAACTCGATTTTTCACTTTGATTCGTGATTATCCGAGTACTCGGATACTCGCCCCAGCCCTATGCATGACCCAGATAATAAGGGGCATAACCCAGATGGAACAACCAAAGTGATAGTATTTCTTGCTTATCAGACTAGTGTTTCTGTTAGTTCAACTCATGACGGAAATTTCACCTGGCATGGGGGGTGCCAGATGAGTTGGGTGTCATACAATAGCATGCACGTAATCTTGCCATTATGAATAAAATTGTAATTTCATGCCCTGTTGCAAGAAAATGGTTACGAGCGTTAAATGAAATTTATATGAATGTTCTTCGCGACTGGTTCTAAGACTTATAAATCTTCTTTGGGTCCTATGAATTATGAATGTTCTCACAGACTGGTTCTAAGAATTAAGAATGTTCTTCGCGTCTGGTTCCACGAATTATGAATGTTTTCTAGAATTATAATCGTTCTAATCAACTGGTTCAATAAAATTAATTATGAATAACCTAAGAGACTCAGGTTCGAAAAATTATGAATATTCTCAGAAGTTTGTTCTAAGAATTAGTAATGTTCTAAGAATTAAGAATGTTCTTCACGACTGGTTCCACGAATTATGAATGTTTTCTGAGACTGGCTCTAAGAATTTTAATCGTTCTTCTCGACTGGTTCAATAAATTATGAATAACCTTAGACTGACTGGTTCGCAAAATTATTAATACACTCAGAGGTTTGTTCTACGAATTATTAATGTTCTTAGAGACTGGTTTTTAGAATTTTTAAATTAATTTTCAGAGACTGGTTCTAAGAATTTATTATGAATGCTGTTTAGGACTGGTTCTAAGAATTATGAATGATCTCAGGGATTGGTTCTAAGAATAATGAACATTCTTATGGACTGGTTATAGGAATTATCAAATGTCATCAGAGACTGGTACTAAGAATTATGAATACTTTAAGGGACTGGTTCTAAGAATTATGAATGCTCTTTGGGACTGGTTCTAAGAATTATGAATGATCTTAGGGACTGGTTCTAAGAATTATGAACATTCTCATGGACTGGTTCAAGGAATTATCAAATGTTATCAGAGACTGATTCTAAGAATTTATTATGACTGCTGTTTAGGACTGGTTCTAAGAATTATGAATGATCTCAGGGACTGGTTCTAAAAATTATGAATACTATAAGGGACTGGTTCTAAGAATAATGAATGTTCTGTGGATAGACTGATTCTTAAAATTATGAAATTAGATTCACAGCATATTTTGCTTTGCATGCAGCCAGTATGATCAATGTAAGCTAGCATTTTTTTTATGCATGCAGCTGATTCATACTTACAAATCTATCTATCTATTATATGAATAGAAATAATTAAAAGTCCCATATCCATAAAGTTTGCTTTGATTTTAGCTAAGCATAGGGACAAATTTATGTAACTGACTAAGTTCATCCTTTTTGAAGCCTTGTAACTCTCACATCATGAAATCAAGTTTACACCATTTTAGAGTATATAGCCATTAAGAGGGGGTAGGTAATAACTCATTTAACAATGCTAGTCTAGAAATATAAAAAAAAATATATATATATATATATATATATGTATATATATAAATATACATGTATACAAAACACACACACACCAGGTCCAAAAAACCCTTCTTTGTAGAGGCAGAATATAGGCTGCTTCCCCAATCAAACCTAGCCTGTTTTTTTCCCCCAGTTTGGTCCTCAAAATTCCCCAGTTTTTTTTTTTAATTTCCCATAGAATTTAGAACAAAATTAAATGATGGTGTTGAAATAAGGTCTTTTACTGCCTTATTAGTATTTCCCAGTGCTTTTAGCTTTTCTATTTTGAAGAACTTGTTAAAAGTTTGTGTTGAATTTGATACCCCTTTCCCCGAAGTATGCCAAAATCACGCATATTTTCCCCCAAGAAAAAGGCTGAGGCCCCTTCCCCAAAAATGGTGTTTTGGCCCTGCACACACACAAATTAAAGTGACAAAGAAAAAAACATAATTTAGTAATCCCCTGCAATGAAATTATCAACCAAAAACAATAAAATCAAAACAATAATTATTTAATATTTTACAATAATCCAAAATTTTAACTTCCACGAAAATGTATCGCACTTGTAACCCTCTGGTACATGTAAAAGGTTTTCACTATTAACCTACTTGCGATCCAAACCATCGGTTAAAATGCTGTTAAATTTGGTTGTATTTTCAGCCTGTAAACTAAAGTATCACCCTTGACCCATGGCAAAATCAGTTGTATTTTCAGCCTGTATATTAAAGTATCACCCTTGACCCATGGCAAAATCAGTTGTATTTTCAGCCTGTATATTAAAGTATCGCCCTTGACCCTTGGCTAAATTGGTTGTTTTCTTTGCAGCATCTGTTGCCTCAGTTAAAAATGAAAACCCTGTACATGTAAGCCTTGCAGCAAAACCAGACTGACTACCGTAAATAATGGACTTATTTTTGCCAACCATTCACAAGTTACCTGTATGTCTAAAGTATCAGCAATTTGTTACTATTAATAGATTGTCATAACAATAACATACAACGTGCCTATATTAGGCGTTTGAACTTCAGTGGAGTCCCTTTAACAAAACATTAACAACAACAAATAAAATATATGAGCCGCGTCACAACAAAACCAACATAATAGGTGTGCTACCAGCATGGATCCAGACCAGCCTGCGCATCCGCGCAGTCTGATCAGGATCCATGCTGTTTGCTATCAGTTTCTCTACTTGTTATAGGGTTTGTAAGCGAACAGCATGGATCCTGATCAGACTGGGCGGATGCGCAGGCTGTTCTGGATTCATGCTGGTCGCAAACCCATTATGTTGGTTTTGTCGTGACGCGGCTCAAATATAACTTTCATACCATAAATGCATCTTGAAGCCGGTCCAAATCTTTCATATTCAGCCGGTTCTCAATCTTCATATCCATGGTAACCACTTTCCTGAAACAAAAATTAAATTCAGGTTTATCATATAATCAAAATATAGCAGCTGCAATCACGTTTAGGTCCAAACTATAATCAACAGAACTATTTATAAAATCATATTCACTCGGTGAAGTATCATATTGGTATAATTATGAAATTGATAAATTATTAGTACAAAATTCTTGATAATTCAGAGCTGTCATCGATTGATTTCGTGCAAAGCATATTGACAACACATTGATATCGGATGAGAGATATTGGTGATCCATACACCGATATCATTATACATATATATTTATATATATTGATATTTTCTTGTATTGTTTGGCAATTATGACCTGCCACCAGACTCATTAGTTTTCGGGAGGTTTTTCGCTAGTTTCTGTAATTTATAACGAGTTACGCACAGAATCTTAATAATAAGATTGTTCTCTAAACCTTTCATTTTAATTACGGCCCATGTTTTATAGCCTAATGGTAAGAAAGAAGGAATTAATTGTATTCACATAATTGCAAGTTCGAATCTGATTTTTATGTATTTATGAACTGATTATAATTATGCAACTTTGAATGTATAAATAAATTGCTATCGATTTATATCGTTTACTTTTTTTCCTATTTCCTGATTTTGATAAATATATAACTTTTCAATTAATTTATTTCATTTTGTAAAGTTGTACACTGTGTGATTCACATGTATAAAAAAAAATTCAAAATATAATTAAACTAGAAATGTGTCCATAGGACACTGATGCCCCCACACGCCACTGTTCTGTCAATCTTATGACTCTAGGTCAAATATTTTTTGGACTACATGTGCCACAAGTTGAAAACTAAAAATCAACAAAGGGCCATAATTCTGTTAAATTTTGTCGCAGCAAAAAATCCTTCCTTTACTACGATCTACACATTAAGGTTGTTAATCCCTGGAAGTTAAAGCAAAATCTGCCATCCGGTTTAAGAGGAGTTGCGTTCACAAAATTTCTACATAGTATAAAGTGAAAAAATCAACAAAGGGCCATAATTCTGTAAAATTTGGTCGCAGCAAAAATTCTTTCCTTTACTACCATCTACACCTTAAGGTTGTTCATCCCTGTAAGTTTAAGCAAAATCTGCCATCCGGTTTAAGAGGAGTTGCGTTCACAAAATTTCTACCTAGTATAGAGTGAAAAAATCAACAAAGGGCCATAATTCTGTTAAATTTGGTCGCAGCAAAAATTCCTTCCTTTACTACCATCTACACATTAAGGTTGTTCATCCCTGGAAGTTTAAGCAAAATCTGCCATCCGGTTTAAGAGGAGTTGCATTCACAAAATTTCTACATAGTATATAGTGAAAAAATCAACAAAGGGCCATAATTCTGTAAAATTTGGTCGCAGCGAAAATTCCTTCCTTTACTACCATCTACACATTAAGGTTGTTCATCCCTGTAAGTTTAAGCAAAATCTGCCATCCGGTTTAAGAGGAGTTGCGTTCACAAAATTTCTACATAGTATCTAGTGAAAAAATCAACAAAGGGCCATAATTCTGTTAAATTTGGTCGCAGCGAAAATTCCTTCCTTTACTACCATCTACACATTAAGGTTGTTCATCCCTGTAAGTTTAAGCAAAATCTGCCATCCGGTTTAAGAGGAGTTGCGTTCACAAGATTTCGGGACGTACGGACGGACTGACGGAATGACGGACGGACTGACGGAATGACGGACGGACGGACGGACAAGTGCAACGCTATATGCTCCCACATTGTGGGGGCATAAAAAAATATCAAAGAAAATTAAAAAAAAAAAAAAAATTCATATGATTCGAATAATTACAACCTTCAATTTGACGGTGCCTGAATTCTACACACATCAGTCATTTAGTGATATGCTGATAATTTTAAGTTATATTATTAGTTATAAAGATCGTTGACATGTTATATGGCCGTATATAAATGGCTATTTGTAAATATAACCAGAGCCGTTAGGCGAGGGTTATGTTGCAAACAGCCATTTATATACGACCATACAACCTGCCAACAATCTTTATAATAAATTTATAATACAGCAAGCATCATTTTTATAGAAAAAAAGTAAGATTTCTTCATGAATCGACAGCAGCCGTGTATATAAAACTAAATAAACGTCACGATTATCCAATGAAAAATGACGTTACAAACGTGCAGTATTATAATCTAACAAAAATTTTTTTTTAATAATAATAATTATACCATCAACATCATAATTTAAAAAAAAAAATATTTTTTAGAATGAATGCTATAATTATACATACTTCAAAACAAGAGAAACCCAAGTTTACCTAGGTGTTAAAGTCATTGTAGATTCCGGCGGATAATCAATATCCTTATAAACAAAGACGGGGTTATCCATTTCTCTGATTTATGTCCTGATCACTTTGGTAAATATTTTTCACTCAAAGTCTAAACTTAACTCTTTTAACTTACATTACGCCCTTAAATCAACAAGTTATTAAATACACTAAACTCCGGAATATAGATTTTTTTTTTCCCCGGCTAAATCTGTACGTACAAACAAACTTTTACAGTTACAGCTTCGAAAAAAAAACGCAACAGGTTGATATAAGTCTATTGTGACGGTAGTGACCATAAGGCCAATTTTTTTTTATATTTTGGTTTACTGATTTTTTCCAAAAAAAGGTAGGGTCGGCGGCGGGAAAAAAAAAAAAAAAAAAAGTTTTCATAACTATAAATGTGGTGCATACATATACATAGTACTAACTAGAGCAATGAAATTAAATACATCGCTAATTGTCTATTCCAAAGATTGTTTAAATACACACAAAAAACTTTTGCTCATATTGTCATTGTTTAAAAACACACATGAAATCTACACACAACGACTTATGACAAGTGGCAAGCGAGCTCTTCAAAAGAATCTGTCATTCTTTGATGTTTACACACTGCTGTGTAATCTGAATCATCAAAGGTGCCGAAAATCAGCTGACTTGCACTCATTTCTTTATAGATCAGATGTTAAAAAAAAACTGTCAAGAAAAGATTACACAAAGTCATGTTCAAGTTTGCCCATTGTGAAAATATTTTTATCGGATAATTAACGGGTCAATTTTTGACATAAAAATCTATTAAAAGTAAGTGCGGGCATTTTTTTTATTTTGTTTGTTTGAAACCTGTATTCAATCTGCTTTTAAAGACTAATTTTTTTTGTTAAATCTGAAAATACTGATCTTGTCAATTGCAGCAGATTTCTCTCGCTCTGTCCTTGAATGTAATTGCTTATGTATTTTGGCGTGTTTTTTTTGTTTGGTTGTTTTACATTTTTACGCATTTCGACCTTCAATGCATTGATGAAATATGATCAAAGCCTAATTATAATTCTGTGAGAATGGCTTGACCCCATTTAACAGACATTCTTTCATAATACACCAATAAACACTTTGCCCAACTAGCAGACGACAGGCTATTCTCAAGTAAAGATAACAGGTTGCGTGTATAAATCGTAGGTAAAATAGTCTGGCATGTGGTAGGTTTAACAGTTAATTAAAATACTTACCGCGACATTTCTTTGACAAGTCGGATTATTAGCAGCGTATTTCAAGACAACACAGAATTTTTTTGGGGCAGATTTTTTTTTTTTTCATTTTCCCAAAATACAGAGTCGGCGGGTCTGTAAACCGAAATATCAAAAAATAATGGCCTAAAGCAATAAAGGTAAAAGTTCTTTTGTACCTATGGATTAAAAATGTAGCTGGCAAAAACCCATATTTTGTCGAGTTCTGGATATTATTCAATTAACATGCCATAAATTGATATTTAATGTTTGAAAAAAGTTAAATTCCAGGTAAGACCTTGACACTAGCAAATTGCTTGTGGAAATAACCAAAGTTTAAGTTTCAAAATATTTCTTATAATACAACTATGTAAATATTTCTTTAATGTATTATAAAAATTGAAATATTTTGGTCAGTTTTCATTTAAAATACCTAAAAAAGCAAACACTGTCAGTAGGACAGCATGCTTGCTTATTCTCGGTGCCTGATGGTAAAACAAGCACCTGCAGATAATGTGAAATGGTCTTAGTTGAAAAAGGACAATAATTCTGTAAAAATCCAGGTTAGAGTTATGGGTCTTGGACAGTAACCTCTTATTATGCTCACAAATAAGTTTGTAAAGTTTCAAACCCTTCCACTTAGTAGTTTTTGCAATACCAACTTATGCGCAAAAACTTAACCAAATTCGACCCTTAAGTAGTCCATCACTACCTATTCTTCAAATAGTTAAAAAAGCTAAAAAAAGTAAACTTTTGACA